ACCCTACAGTGATGCGCTGGGGGTGCCCGGTGGCCAACCGGGCGCGACAACCGGCCAGGCGGCCCGGCACCCCCCCCCGGGCGACGGCCAGGCCGCCGGGCGGCCCGGGGATTAGCCTAGCATTTTTCACCTTTGTAATTTAAATTAGTAATTTGCATTCTTGTTCACTAGTCCCTTATCATGCACCTCAGACTTGAGCTCTGGCTGAACCTGAAGCTTTTAGTAGTGCTCAGCCCAAGGATTCAATTTCAACCTCTCGTCATCTACATTGGTGTTTTGCAATTCCTCTATGCTTTGAAAGCCTTGACCAAGCTGTCAGTAGTTTCATCGAAAAGATGAATATCTGTGTTGTGCCCTGATATAAGCAGCAACTGGATGTGCCTGCCTTTAAGACAGCTTCATGGCATGAAAATGCGACTGGTGAGTGAATTCCCCCCATTTCTTTGTTTGTATCCATCCACTGCGACATCTTTCCTGATTGTTGGCTCTGGTATTGTATTTGCACATCCTCTCCCTGCACGGTGAGGATTGCCTGACAAAGGGTTCTGTCAGTCAACCCACTCACCTGGTATGCACTGCCTGAAAAAGGAGACGCAGGAGAAGTTCACATTGGTCAGCACTGATTTGGAAGATGTTGTGATTCAAGTAAACAATGTTGAACATGATGCGGACCTTATTTTGCCACACCTTAAAAGGAGGTGATCCAGCCGCACCTTCCAGTACGGCTACCTTGTTATGACTTAAGTCACCAGCCCCGCCTTTGGTATCCTCAGCCATAACAAGTGCTCTTTGAATCATTCGAGGTGGCTGCCAACCACAGAGCCTTTGACTCTTGCAAGCCACCATGTAGGAATTTAAAACACCAAACAAGAAGGGTTGGGACGAGGGCTGCACAACGAGTTGGGTTACAGGATTGGATGTTCGATGGTGATATGTGGGACAGGATGCGGGGCTGGATGAGAAGATGAGAAGGAATGCGGTTTGGGGAGGAGAGTTGGGAAGTCAAGGGAGGATGAAAGAGACTGGCAGCAGGGGGCGGGTCTTATTTCAAATTCCTCCTGCCCCCGCCTTTCCCAGCTGAGGAACCAGATTTATGCCTGCATTTCTATCCTGTGTTTCTGCCCATTTGCCAGTATGGTGTCAAAAAGCAAAATATTGCTATTTGAAAGGTCTTCCACGATTCAGGCCCCAAATTTGGCTCTCAGGGTCAGAGGCCCTGGTCAAGAGAGGCCGAGTTCGTCAAATTCGGAAAAGTCACAGTCGGATACCTCAGCTGTCCAGTCCAACAGGCACCCAGCAAACAGTCACATCTTAGGGGCAAGAATCACGTCTCATAATGAAAAGTCATATTGAAGAGTCACATCCCATGAGTAAAAGGGCAGTTCCACAGGCAAGAGTCGTGTCCCAGAGGCAGGAGTCACAGTCCACAATCAAAAGTCATGTTCACAACTGAAAAGTCATGACTCAAAGGCCCAAGCAGCAGCAGACCAATGGAAATTCGGGAAGGTTCCTGGCCTTGACATTCAGAAGCAGACGGGCCGTGGGGATGTGGTACCGGAACCAGTCAGGACCCAAGAAACAGAGGCTGGCACGTGTTGAAGTGCAAACCAAGACTACAAAGCGACTGGCCAGCCTCCCATTCGGGGAGATTGCTCTTTCACAAGAAGTGTGGAAGTGCTGGTGCACTTGTGCGCTGTAGTGAGGAGCAGAGCGCTGAGGCCAGAGTGCTGCGCTAGAGAGAGAGAGAGAGAGAGAGAGAGAGAGAGAGAGAGAGAGAGAGAGAGAGAGAGAGGGAGAGAGAGAGAGAGAGGAAGAGATTGCGCTGGCAGGGAGAAGGCAGCCATAGTTGCGCCAGTGCAGAATGTTAGTAAGTGGACTACAGATAGTTAGTAGGCATGTCGGTGGGTGTATCCAGAGTAGATCCTTTAGAAGAGATAGTGAGTGTGCACGCATGTAGGGAGAGAAGACACAGCGAGGTCATAGCTAGTGTTACATGCCCAGTTGGGCGATGTATGTATAAACCGAGGACCCGCAATGTGATAAAAAGGACTGAATGGACAATGCAGTGCAAGTGGAATCTCAACAAGCAATGTGCATTCTGATACATACAAAATGGTGCTGTATAGCGCAGGGAAGACTTAGATCATCTGCGCGGCCTTGTTGAAGAGTTCTGCCGGTGTCGTCAGGGTGTCCTCGACGTGAGTCAAGGCATTGCCCAACGCCGGACGCGCCCTCGAGATGAAGTAGTGTTTGATGGCTTTGAAACCCATTTGAATGTCTGGGTCGGATGTCAAGCGTTGGTACTCGACAATCCAATCAACACTCGGCCGCGTGCCTTGTTCGAAGACCATCAGCTTGTCCAGTGCCTTGATCTCTGGCGGCTCTACTTGGAACCGCGTATGCCATGCCGCCTTTAGGTCATCCCAGCTGATCTTGGTATGCAAGTCGGCAGCTACCACTCCGTACTTGGACAAGAGATTGTCCAACCATGCTTGGCACGCGCCCCCCGACCGGGAGTATAAGTACCCGTGGTGCATGTGTTCTTTGACGTTGTGTAGCTGCAACGTGAGCTCGAATTTGCGTCGAGTCGCAGAAGATCTCCTACCCATCGAACTTTGGAGTTGTCTCGCGCGGTTCCGAGCTCGAGTGGTTGGCGGTAGTACAGATCCGCTGCTCCAACTGTTGCGTTGCGGTTTGCTGTAACTGCACGCCGTCCTTGAGGGAGCCGGCGTCAATCTCCAATGCCTCGAGGCGATCGGAGGTGTTGGAAGAGCTGGCATCGGGGCCGGCAACAGGTCGCTGCTCCAGCTGCCGGAGGCGGCCGTGGACTTGAGTCAACGCGTCGGGATGTCCTCCTGTTGTGTAATGCATGTCGCCAGGAGGTCCGTGAGATCGGAGAGGAGTAGAGCACTTTTGTTGTCACTCTCTTCCATCTTGCCATTCCTCGGCCTACCAATCCGTTGCCATTGTGAGCAAAGCTTACTCTCCGCTGAATATCTTCTCGCGACATTGGACTCGTTCTTCATCGACAGCCTTTGCTGTTGCCTCGCTGTGATGGCGCTGCTGTTCGATTGCCAACAGACGTGCCTTCTCAACGTCCTCTGCCTTCTGCTTCGCTGCGACTGCTACTGCATCCGACCGTTGCTTAGCTTCGGTAATTAGAAGCAGCATCCGGGCCTCATAGGCCTCGTCCGTTTCCCCAGACATCCGGGCCTAATAGAGAGCATGGCCAGCACTAGTCAGGAGTCCTCACTCATCCCTCTGAACATCTCACTCAATCTCTTATTTTGTTGCGTCTCTTGTGCTTTAGCCCATGTTCGTACTATTTGAGGCTGTGGTCTCTGGATGTAGAGCCACCTGAAACCTGCAAGCTCTGAGCACTTCCGACCAAGTCCCATGATGCGGAAATCAACCATAGCACAAAATTCCTCCCAAAGAGTAGCGAGATATGGCTGAGAGAAAATCCCTC